AACGTCCCGTCCCTTAGTTTGGTTAAGGAAACGTGCAAAGCTAGCACTTAAACATCCAACGAGAACGTGCTAGCTCAGCCTCAAGACCCACAATTCATGCAAAGCTAGGCAAAGCCTAATAAAACGTAGGCAATGAAAGCTTAAGAAAACTAAGAACGGTGTAGGCACAAAGAAAGAACGGAGAGCTTGAAGTATGCTTTACTCAAACAAATGATGGTTACAAATGAGGGATGTTTGGAGTATTTATAGGCTAAGTCCCCAAGTACCAGAGAATTTTATACAAAGAATAAAATAATAATTATCTAGAGAATTCTAGTCCAAGTGTAGAATTTCATAGATTCCATAAGTCCTTAGAAAGCACTATCCCGTTCCAGACCCACCTAGGAATCCTCGTGAGGCTTTTCCATATTTCCAGCAAAGTCTGGTTGCTACTAGAAAATTTCCAATCCATGTAGAATTGGCCCGAGAAATCTAGCGTCCTCTAGAACGTCCCGTCCTTTAGTCTGGTTAAGTAAACGTGCGAAGCTAGCACTTAAACAACCGACGAGAACGTGGTAGCTCAGCTTCAAGATCCACAATTCATGCAAGGCTAGGCAAAGCCTAATAAAACGTAGGCATTGAAAGCTTAAGAGAGCTAAGAACGGTGTAGGGACAAAGAAAGAACGGAGAGCTGGAAGTATGCTTTACTCAAACAAATGATGGTTACAAATGAGTGAGGTTCGGAGTATTTATATGCCAGGTCCCCAAGTTCAAGCGAATTTTATATAAAGAATAAAATAATTATTATCTAGAGAATTCAAGTCCATGTGTGGAATTTCATAGAATTCCATAAGTCCTTAGAAAGCTCTATCTCGTTCCAGACCTATCTAGGAATTCTCGGGAGGCTTTTCCACATTTCCAGCAAAGTTCGGTTGCTTCTAGAAAATTTCAATTCCATGTGGAATTGGTCCGAAAAATCTAGCGTCCTCTAGAACGTCCCGTCCCTTAGTCTGGTTAAGGAAACGTGTGAAGCTAGCACTTAAACAACCAACGAGAACGTGCTAGCTCAGCCTCAAGACCCACAATTCATGCAAAGCTAGGCAAAGCCTAATAAAACGTAGGCAATGAAAGCTTAAGAAAACTAAGAACGGTGTAGGCACAAAGAAAGAACGGAGAGCTTGAAGTATGCTTTACTCAAACAAATGATGGTTACAAATGAGGGAGGCTTGGAGTATTTATAGGCTAAGTCCCCAAGTCTCAGAGAATTCTATACAAAGAATAAAATAATAATTATCTAGCGAATTCTAGTCCATGTGTGGAATTTCATAGAATTGCATAAGTCCTTAGAAAGTTCTATCTCGTTCCATACCGACGTAGGAATTCTCGGGAGGCTTTTCCATATTTCCTGCAAAGTCCGGTTGCTTCTAGAAAATTTCAAATACATGTGGAATTGGCCCGAGAAATCTAGCGACCTCTAGAACGTCCCGTCCCTTAGTTTGGTTAAGGAAACGTGCAAAGCTAGCACTTAAACATCCAACGAGAACGTGCTAGCTCAGCCTCAAGACCCACAATTCATGCAAAGCTAGGCAAAGCCTAATAAAACGTAGGCAATGAAAACTTAAGAAAGCTAAGAACGGTGTAGGCACAAAGAAAGAACGGAGAGCTTGAAGTATGCTTTACTCAAACAAATGATGGTTACAAATGAGGGTTGCTTGGAGTATTTATAGGCTAAGTCCCCAAGTCCCAGAGAATTCTATACAAAGAATAAAATAATAATTATCTAGAGAATTCTAGTCCAAGTGTAGAATTTCATAGAATTCCATAAGTCCTTAGAAAGCACTATCCCGTTCCAGACCCACCTAGGAATCCTCGTGAGGCTTTTCCATATTTCCAGCAAAGTCCGGTTGCTACTAGAAAATTTCCAATCCATGTAGAATTGGCCCGAGAAATCTAGCGTCCTCTAGAACGTCCCGTCCCTTAGTCTGGTTAAGGAAACGTGCAAAGATAGCGCTTAAACAACCAACGAGAACGTGCTAGCTCAGCCTCAAGACCCACAATTCATGCAAAACTAGGCAAAGCCTAATAAAACGTATGCAATGAAAGTTTAAGAAAGTTAAGAACGGTGTAGGCGCAAAGAAAGAACGGAGAGCTTGAAGTATGCTTTACTCAAACAAATGATGGTTACAAATGAGGGATGTTTGGAGTATTTATAGGCTAAGTCCTCAAGTCCCAGAGTAATCTATACAAAGAATAAAATAATAATTATCTAGAGAATTCTAGTCCATGTGTGGAATTTCATAAGATTCCATAAGTCCTTAGAAAGCTCTATCTCGTTCCAGACCGACCTAGGAATTCTCGGGAGGCTTTTCCACATTTCCAGCAAAGTCCGGTTGTTTCTAGAAAATTTCAAATCCATGTGGAAATTTGCTCGAGAAATCTAGCGTCTTTTAGAACGTCCCAACCCTTAGTCTAGTTAAGGAAACGTGCAAAGCTAGCACTAAAACAACCAACGAGAGCGTGCTAGCTTACCCTCAAGACCCACAATTCATGCAAAGCTAGGCAAAGTCTAATAAAACGTAGGCAATGAAAGCTTAAGAAAGCTAAGAATGGTGTAGGTACAAAGAAAGAACGGAGAGCTTGAAGTATGCTTTACTCAAACAAATGATGGTTACAAATGAGGGATGTTTGGAGTATTTATAGGCTAAGTCCCCAAGTACCAGAGAATTTTATACAAAGAATAAAATAATAATTATCTAGAGAATTCTAGTCCAAGTGTAGAATTTCATAGAATTCCATAAGTCCTTAAAAAGCACTATCCCGTTCCAGACCGACCTAGGAATCCTCAGGAGGCTTTTCCACATTTCCAGCAAAGTTCGGTTGCTACTAGAAAATTTCAAATCCATGTGGAATTGGCCCGAGATTATCTAGCGTCTTCTAGAACGTCCCGTCCTTTAGTCTGGTTAAGGAAACGTGCAAAACTAGCACTTAAAGAACCGACGAGAACGTGGTAGCTCAGCTTCAAGACCCACAATTCATGCAAGGCTAGGCAAAGCCTAATAAAACGTAGGCATTGAAAGCTTAAGAGAGCTAAGAACGGTGTAGGCACAAAGAAAGAACGGAGAACTTGAAGTATGCTTTACTCAAACAAATGATGGTTACAAATGAGGGAGGTTCGGAGTATTTATATGCCAAGTCCCCAAGTTTAAGCGAATTCTATATAAAGAATAAAATAATGATTATCTAGAGAATTCTAGTCCATGTGTGGAATTTCATAGAATTCCATAACTCCTGAGAAAGCTCTATCTTGTTGCGGACAGACCTAGGAATTCTCGGGAGGCTTTTCCACATTTCCAGCAAAGTCCGGTTGCTTCTAAAAAATTTCAAATCCATGTGAAATTGGCCCGAGAAATCTAGCGTCCTCCAGAACGTCTCGTCCCTTAGTCTGGTTAAGGAAACGTGTGAAGTTAGCACTTAAACAACCAACGAGAACGTGCTAGCTCAGCCTTAAGACCCACAATTCATGCAAAGCTAGGCAAAGCCTAATAAAACGTAGGCAATGAAAGCTTAAGAAAGCTAAGAACGGTGTAGGCAGAAAGAAAGAACGGAGAGCTTGAAATATGCTTTAGTCAAACAAATGATGGTTACAAATGAGGGATGCTTGGAGTATTTATAGGCTAAGTCCCCAAGTCCCAGAGAATTCTATACAAAGAATAAAATAATAATTATCTAGAGAATTCTAGTTCAAGTGTAGAATTTCATAGAATTCCATAAGTCCTTGGAAAGCAATATCCCGTTCCAGGCCGACCTAGGAATCTTCGCGAGGCTTTTCCATATTTCCAGCAAAGTCCGGTTGCTAGTAGAAAATTTCCAATCCATGTAGAATTGGCCCGAGAAATCTAGCGTCCTCTAGAACGTCCCGTCCCTTAGTCTGGTTAAGGAAACGTGCAAAGGTAGCACTTAAACAACCAACGAGAACGTGCTAGCTCAGTCTCAAGACCCACAATTCATGCAAAACTGGGCAAAGCCTAATAAAACTTAGGCAATGAAAGCTTAAGAAAACTAAGAACGGTGTAGGCACAAAGAAAGAACGGAGAGCTTGAAGTATGCTTTACTCAAACAAATGATGGTTACAAATGAGGGATGCTTGGAGTATTTATAGGCTAAGTCCTCAAGTCCCAGAGTAATCTATACAAAGAATAAAATAATAATTATCTAGAGAATTCTAGTCTATGTGTGGAATTTCATAAGATTCCATAAGTCCTTAGAAAGCTCTATCTCGTTCCAGACCGACCTAGGAATTCTCGGAAGGCTTTTCCAAATTTCCAGCAAAGTCCGGTTGTTTCTAGAAAATTTCAAATCCATGTGGAAATTTGCTCGAGAAATCTAGCGTCCTCTAGAACGTCCCGTCCCTTAGTCTGGTTAAGGAAACGTGTGAAGCTAGCACTTAAACAACCAACGAGAGCGTGCTAGCTTACCCTCAAGACCCACAATTCATGCAAAGCTAGGCAAAGTCTAATAAAACGTAGGCAATGAGAGCTTAAGAAAGCTAAGAATGGTGTAGGCACAAAGAAAGAACGGAGAGCTTGAAGTATGCTTTACTCAAACAAATGATGGTTACAAATGAGGGATGTTTGGAGTATTTATAGGCTAAGTCCCCAAGTACCAGAGAATTTTATACAAAGAATAAGATAATAATTATCTATAGAATTCTAGTTCTCATAAACGCTAAATTAGTTGTCTAAATAAAATTAGTTGTCAAAATTACCAAATTACCCCTAATAGGTAAGAGTCCAGGACCTGGACTCTAGTATAATGGATTAGATATTTATGTCTTTGGTCGGTCGACCGATTTTTGTGAATTAAATCACGTCTAAATATATTTCGCGTTTCTGAATCGCGAATTTGTGGTACTTAAAACATTTTTGTGTTTCTGAAACGCGAATTCTTGTGGGTTAAATCACAGTCTTCGCGTTTCAACTTATTCGGTTTCTTTCTTTTTCGGTGGCCGGCGGACTCCATAGAAACCGGCGAATTATTCGGAATCGTTGCCGGAAGCGAGTTTCAGCATAAATTTTTTGCATTTTGTGGGCTATATATCGAGGTAAGTTGTTATTTTACTCTCATTTAATCATTTTTTTTAAATTCATGCTTTTAATTCCGAATCCTAAAAATTTTGTGTTAGTTTTTTTTAATTTTAATTTGCGATTTAATACTCCGTTAATAGATCTAATATTATAGGTGGTGTAGTTGTGGATTTTTTTAAAACATTCGGGATTGTGGGTTATGACGGGATTGCCGGCGGGGGAGTCGGGGAGAGGGGGGGTTGCCGGTGGGGGGAGTAGGCAGCGGGGTGGGCTTAGGGTTGTGGGGTTTTGGGTTTGGGGGTTTGGGTTGGGTTTGGGGGATTGGGTTGGGTTTGGAATGTGGGTTTGGGTGTAGAGGGGTGGGTATTGGGTTGAGTATAGGGGGTTGGTTATTGGGTTGGGTTTAGGGGGTTGGGTTTATAAGGTTGGGTATTGGGTTAGATTTTTTAAATATATATAGATAATTAGGATTAGAAATAGGATAATAATATTAATCCGTACTTATTAAAATTTAGGGTCGGATTTTTTAATGTATAAGATAATAAATATTGATAAATATTAATCCGTGCTTACTAAAATTTAGTGTCGGATTTTTTAATGTATAGGATTAGAAATAGGATAATAAATATTGATAAATATTAATCCGTACTTACTAAAATTTAGGGTCGGATTTTTTAATGTATAGGATTAGAAATAAGATAATAAATATTGATAAATATTAATCTGTACTTACTAAAATTTAGGGTCGGATTTTTTAATGTATAGGATAATAAATATTGATAAATATTAATCCGTACTTACTAAAATTGTTTGTAAATTGTTATAGCCATGGACATTGGATCATCTTCTTCCTCTTAATCTACCTCAAAGAAGCTACTGCAGGGACCTAGAGACAATAGTTTGTTGTTCCTCCAAAACACCCACAGGTCACATAATATATTCCATGATGCACAGTATGATATAGGAATTTTGGAGCCCAGGCGCGTAGATAGCGCAGCGTGGAAATATATAAAAGATGCACCGACGATGACAAAGGAATACATTGAGAAATTTGGTTTTGGACCGTTTTCTAGAGTTGGGTCCATAAGATGTGACCATGCCCTACTTACAGCTCTTGTGGAGCGATGGCGCCCAGAGACCCATACTTTTCATTTACCTTTTGGGGAGGCTACTATCACACTGCAGGACGTTGAGGTTCTTTTGGGGCTTCGGGTTGATGGACGTCCGGTTACAGGACATCACACAACGCCTGAAGGTGGTTGGGCTACCTATTTGGAGAGAATGTTTGGATTTAGGTTCCAGACAGAGTAGTCTAGATTGACGAGCATTTCTATCACTGAAATAAAGACTCACATAGAGAACAATCCTTTGACGGACCAGTCCCCCGACAAGGCACACCTACAGCGAGCCCGTTGTTTTGTTGGATGGCTAGTTGGCGGATTACTATTCTCTAACACTACGAGAAACAGTTTTCCACTCAATCTTGTGCATTTTCTGCATACTCCCAAGATTTGCTCGAAGTACAGTTGGGATAGCGCGGCACTATGTTACTTGTACCGCAGCATGTCCAAGTCATCTCTGGCCGCTTCCGCAAAGGCTATTACCGGCTATGTGATTCTTCTTCAGGTATTTTATCTTTTCATTTCTCTCTATTTTCATTTTATATTCTCCCATAATTATTTGTGATATTAGCTAATGATTCCTAAATTCTGAATTAGCTCTGGGCCTGGGAGCGGATTTTGACTGTTCAGCCAAAGATACTGGGTGGCGAGCTCGATCTTTCTCATTGTCCATTGGGCACGGGGTAATCTTATATATCAAACCTCCGGACATTTTGACATTGTGATTTGTACTGTCATGTCTCAATTTAATGTTAGTTTTTCCGTGCAGGTGGTCCCGTGAGAAAAAAGTTCAAGGTATCACACGGTTCAATTTGGCCGCCTACCGGGATTAAGCTTACAGTTCTCACAGAGTCAGATGTTAGTATTCATTTCAATTACTGTAACATATTCTTTATTGGATTTTTTTAATGGTGCAGGACTTTTAATTATGCGTCTCTTACTATATTACCACTGCAGTTTGTATGGATGCCGTACACGACTCTTCTGGGCCGTATTGCCAGGGTTTGTCTTGTGGGACAGGGCATATGGCGATCTCAGACATGGCTCATCTGCGGTGATGTCGTTGTGTCACGGGCTTACTTTTTCAAAGTAACGGCCGTGCGGCACTAGCACAAAACAACTAACGATCAAGTGCTAGCTCAGCCTTAAGACCCCCAAAGCGTGCAAAGCTAGGCAAGACCTTAAAGAACGGAGGCAAAGAAAAACTTAAGGAAGGTTGAAAGTGAAAGAATGATGAAGGCGCAAGAGGCTTAAGGAATCTTGAAACTCTACTCAAAGCTTGGATGGTTACAAATGGAGGGCATGGGGTATTTATAGGCAAACCCCCAAGTCCTAAAGAATTCTAGAGAATTCTATGTACATAATAAAATAATGGGATTCTAGAGAATTCCTACAATAAAATATTCTAAGTTCAAAATATCTACAAGTCTCTAGAATCTTTTACACGATTCTAGCAAACTCGGGTAGCTTCCATACGGTTCCACTCGTTTCTAGAGAGTTCCGGGCCTCTCTAGAAAATTCCAGAGTCTTCAAGATTTGACCGGAAAATTCCACAAGGCTCTAGACCGTTCTGTCCCATGTCCGTCTACGAAAATAGCCCGTTTCGCATCAAACCACCCGAATTCATGGTGAAGAAAAACTGTCCGTGACAGTTGCGCCACACAACCCCAGTAGGGTATTTCGCCAATTTGGTTATCACCAGAGGATACCCGGCGACGGATTGCTTCTCACCGCGGGGGAAATTACTAGCCTGCTCAAGAGGAAGCCGTTTGGAGGATCCGATAGGAGATGGATACAACAACTAGGGATATATCTCCAGGTTTGGAATGATCGCCACGGCAGACTTGTGGGGACTGATGATGATTATGTTGGCGAGCCTACAGCAGATCCGGAGTATCTCTTGTGGTACCATCAGGTTACTGTAAAGTATGTTACGGATCCGATGGATTCTGAAAATGCGAGGGATTTTCACGGCTCTGCAGAGACCTTGCGCCTCATGGTGAGTATTTCGTACAATTTCTTTCGCCTACAGTCCATTATGTAATTTATTTTCATTGTTATCGATTTATGATTCTTTCTAACAAAAATTTCAGGCCACATTGATGGAGGACGTTCGTAGTCTGAGTATTATAGGCCAGCGTACTTTCAACAAGGACTCCTTTGGTTATGATCGCTTAGGCGAGATTGCCCAGGTTGCTGAGCGGGCGTTGTCCGTCAATGCAACAAATGTTGTACGTCACGATCTCGAGAGGCAGGTTGAGGTTAATGACATTTTGAGTCAAGAACTTGCATCTATAGACTCGACCCAGCAACATCCACCTCCCAGACCTCCGAGGCGTTAGCGCAAGTCTCAGCGTGGGCGTGGGGGGCAAGAGACAATCAAGCCCACTCAGCCACATCAGTCCTCCCAGCATCAGCAGTCTCATATCCCCTTCACTGACGGTTCATCCCATCAGTCTCCACTTATGTCTCCACACCATTCTTCTTAGCATTTATCCCATTAGTCTCTACATCATTCATTCCATCAGTCTCCACATCAGTCTCCCCATCATTCTTCGCCGACCCAACAGGCGTTTTACCGTCCCATTATATCTCCCTAGCACCAGCAGTCCCATTTTGCCTTCACTCAGATTTCCTCCCTTCAGACTTCTCAGCCTCAGTTTGGAGATGTTTTTATTGATTTTTCTGGGTTCCAGCAGAGTTCTCTAGATGGCCAGTCAATACATTACACGAGTAACTTTCTTTCGAGTATGTTCCAGGGTGTTGCGGGTCAGCATTAGGCTGATGACCCAGCTGGAGGTGAGCGTGAGAGTCAGGGTGAAGATGAGGCTGAGGATGCAGACCAGCATGATCAGTTTGAGGGTCAGGGTTATCAGCGCCATGAGGAGCAGGGATCGAGTCAGACTCTAAGGACTCCACCGTTGGCTGTGAGTAAAGGCCAGAGAGTGACAAAGGATCTCGATAGATTGACTTATAGCCATTTTCGGGCTAAAAAGCCCAAGAAGAAGTAGGGTACTAGACTTTTTATGTAGTATTATTAGACTTGTATTTTTTTTTTTTCTTTTGTTCATTTATGTTTTTTTTTCCTTTTGTTATGACTTGTTTTTTTTTTTTCCTTTTGTTATGACTTGTAATATTTTGTTATGACTTGTATTAATATTCTTAATAGGTTGATTTCACCTGCATCGTTGCTATTTTATTAATATTTATCAAACACATCTTCGCTGATCAAATCTAAACACATCTTCAAACTTTCTCATATTTTTTTAATAATTAATAGTTGCTTCATTTTTTTTTGTAAAGAAACAGAAAGTATTTAGTTTATCCAAACAAAAAATGTAATTCTTAGCTCTTACATATCAACCGTCTATTAAAATTACCACATCCACAAAAGGATAGTACCAGACACCGAAAACAAACATTCAGTAAACTATAGTTCTCTTCAAAATTAAGATGCGGTGCATTAAACAATCGCATTGGCAGCACTTGCAATCCTAGGCCAAAGATCATCACACTCCTTTCCAATGGGACCACTGATTGCGGAACCTTTCATTTTTCCTTTGGGATTAACAATCACTCCAGCATTATCTTCAAAGTACATGTAGACACCGTCCTTTTGGCGCCATGGCTTGCGCTGGCGGACATTGACTGCGGGCATGACCTTCTTCCTCAGATTGGGCTTACCCTTCTTGACGGTGGCCATAACCATGTCACCGACGCAAGCACAAGGGAGACGGTTGAGCCTACCCTTCATTCCCTTCACTGAAATGATGTAAAGGTTCTTTACCCCGGTGTTGTCGGCGCAATTCACGGTCGCAGCCACTGGAAGACCCAGAGACATCCTGAACTTGTTACCAGCCGATCCTCCGCGTCCTCGCTTCGACATTTTTGCTGTCTCCCTTGTGAGGTTTCCGAAGAAGAGATAATAGTTGCTTCATCTTAAGCGTTGGTAAATTATAATAAATATTTAATAAAATTTATTCATATTTTAAGCTTTTTTCTTATATTGAAACCGTCATAATTAATAAAAATAATTTGTAAATTAAAGTACATCTAATTAAATCCATAAAATTACGTCATTTATCATTATTGAAAATTTTTCATATAAAATTATTTTATAAAATAATGATTAAATTTTTAATATAATTTTTTAAAAATTTAATATAATTTTTTAATATAATCATTATTAAATTTTTGATATAATTTTTTAAAAATTTAATACATTATAATAATTATTTCACACTTTTAATAATTTATATTTAAGTATAGCTCTATTTAATTTAATGAGTATCAATTATAATATTATATTCTTATTCAAAATTTAATTTTCCTATTATTAAAATTATCAATATAATTTCCTCTTTATAGCTCTATTCAAAATTTAATGATTATAAATTATAATTTTAAAATTTTTCTTTAATTTAATTATTAAAATTTAATAATTTTTTGAAGTAAATTTCCCTAGAAATTTTTAAACTAGGCAAATTAATCAAATTTTTATGACTATTTCCTTTTTTTATTTAAATAAAATATTCTTTTTTATTTTTTTTGAGCTTTGAAAACACAAATCTTTATTTAATCATTTTTTTACCATTAATTAATTATGATTAAGTTAAATTAATTACGATTTCTTATTTTTAGCGTTTCTGTAACGCGAAAATTGAATTTTAGCATTTTCATAACGCGAAATTATTTTTTTAGCATTTTCAAAACGCGATTTTTCTTATTTTTGCGTGTTTGAAGCGCGAAAGAATCATTTTTGGCCACAATTAAAACCCTAGATCTATCTTGTTATTCATAATTTTTTTGAGATATGTATAAGTAAATTTTCCCTTAAACTAGTAGATTATTAGGGCTTCACGTCGCAATGAGTATTTTCTAGATCTTTATTGATGAAAAATAAGTATTTATGGATGGGGTATTCCCGGTCTCCGGGATAGGTGAGACTGTTTTGTATGACAAATTTTGGGCCTCAAGAATGGCGATGCCAAGAAATTTTTGAAGATATGGTTATAGTATGTTGATTTCAACTGAATTTGCAGTGCCTTAATGTGCTTCAATCTTGCGAAGAAGAAAACTTGACGTTCATTACTCAGGAAATGTTGCAGTAAAGGAACCGTATGCGAAACCTGAGAGATAATGGTAAAAATTTAATAAAATAACACTTATTTTTTAGTTGTAACCAATTCCGGTAGATGTGCGTCGCATATACTGAAATGTAGTATCAAGTGAATAAATATTTGAGTAATGATAAGCTTTTCGAAAATTTTAACGCCAAACTCATCTCCACTGACTTGTCTAGCCTACTTGTCTACACCACGTTGGCTTTCAATTTTTTTAATTTAATAATTTTTTTTAAAAAAAGAAATCTTAGAAATCGCAGTTAGTTCCTCTCGTCAATTCAATCATCTCAAAACCGTCGCCACTGCCAAAAAAAATCCATCTCGGCCTCTCAATCTTGATTTCAAGAATTCAGATTAAGGCATGTTGCTTCATCTTTAAATCCACTGGAATATCATCTTTAAATCTTTGGTGTATAATTATTTTATCCAACTGGAAGTGATTTGCTAACTGAAGCAAATCAGAGGAAGAAAAGGACGACTAGCACCTTTTCTCATTAACCTACCAAATCATCGACTTCCTTTCTAGTCAAATCTCAAGAAGTAATAACCCAAAAAATAAATATTTTTCTTGTAATTAGATTCAAACTCTTCACCACAAATTTTGCAAAACGAATACAACGATAGTAAATCATCCAATTTTATAATAAACTTAGCCTACCTGAAGTTTAAATCCCAACATAGTATAACGGCAGATCATCGAGCACAGGCATAGCTAGGGAAGCTTAAAATGAAGAAATAACAATGCAATTTGTTTTTTGCAAAATTCTCAAAAGAGATTCCGAAAATACAAACATAACCTCCTCATCGTCTAGATGCCTTAATCACAATTCTCGAAATCAATATTTGAGAAGCCGATTTGGAATTTCTGGTGGTGGCGGTAACGATGGTTGGACGATTGAATTGTCGGGGAGAGGACCTGTTCTAAAGTATAAGTGCGATTTCTATTAAGGGTTTATTTTTTAAAAAAAAATTATTAAATAAAAAATAGAAATCTGACGTGGTGTGAACAGGTGGGTTGGACAGATCAGTCGAGTTGAGTTTCGCGTTAAAATTTTTGAGAACCCTATCATTACTTTAAATATTTATACATTACATAATTGACTATTGGTTGATTATCAAAAGGAATGAAAAGGCAAACCAGTGTTGTAAAGGAGTTGTGCGCGCACCACTAAAAATGAGAAAAAAAAAAAAAGAAAAGTAGAAATAAAGGGACGAAAAATAATTTTTTTTATACTTACTTTAAGCATAACTAAATCGATTTTTATCTTGTAAATTAATCTGCAATCTGTGTTGAGCTGAAGAGCTCTCTCACCGATCGGTCTATCGTGAACCGGCCTGACGACGGTGAAGGCCTAGGCAGTCAAGGTATTCGAGTTAGAGGATGGGTCAAAACCGGCCGTGAGATGCCCACTTTTGCATTTCTGGACCTCTTCTTATCTTATGGACCTCCAGTTGATTATGGATTCGGAGTGGTGGAGACCGAAACCACCTTTGCAGATATAAAGGTCGATATGAACTGCGCAGAAGCATATGTGAAAGTCACGTGCCATTGAGTATTACTTGGACGACATGAAACTTAAGGTGGAGAAAAGTTGATCCAACCGCAATAGACCGACTTAAAGTCTTCGCATCGAGCGCCTTCCACTAGATTTCTTACACAAAGATATAGAGGTACGACACAGGAGAATAGATCCTGTTCAAGTAAGGTCGTTGCGATTCTCAAAAAAAATGTCTGAGGTTAAGATATCTGACAAGAAAGTAAAATGGGGAATCCATTTGGCATTCGAACACGAGAGATATTTGATAGATGAAGTGTTCAAACAACCCGTCATTGTGTTTGACAACCCAAAAGAGATTAAAGCCTTCTATATGAAGGTCAATGAAGACCAGAAGACGGTTATAGCTAGCGATGGATTTCTTTGTACCTAGGGTTGGGGAATTGGTTGGAGGAAAGCCAAAGAGGTTTGACTGAATTTTGAGATCAAAACTAAAGCAAAGGAATCTAATGGTTTAAATAATCACAACTAGAAAACTATGAGACTACCTTATGAAATTAAAATTTAATATCAGACCCCCACCTATGCACTAACCAATAATATCTCATGCAAGTTCCCTAGCAAAACCAAAACACTCCCATTTCTCCCTAATTCCCACGCCTCACACACATGATCATATTTCTTTTCACAAACAGCAAAAAATCCTACCCATTCCCTCATCAAAATCCTTTGCTCCAATCCCGGCCATTTTTTCCTTTTGCTTCAAATCCTTCTCGATTTTCCATAACTTCAACCATAGGATCCGCATAGAACGAAGGGAAGAAACGGCTTAGAAGTCAAGGAGGGAAAAGAAGAAAAATCTAAGATGAAGGAGTTGAGAGATTATGATGAATAAGGTGGAATCAATCTGAACGGTGGCGGCCGGAGTTTACCTCATTTGTAGGCCTGAAATTTAACGTCTAAATAAGGTAACAATGATATTCAATTCATAGACAAATCGTAATCAAAATTTTGGAATTGTTTTGGAAATTTAGAAAAATTAGTTATAATGCTAAATCTGTTGTTCTTTTGTTGCGTGCCATAGTTGCTAAAGACTGTTATTACAACATTTAAATGGGTTATTTATGTCCTAGCAACTTTGAGGTAGCTTGTATGGGATTGCATATGTTTAAACTACAATTTAGAATTTGAACTTCTTGGCCAAATGACTTGAAGCAAAGTGTAGAGATGATTTTGTTGTTTTGTTAAAAAGATTGAGGGGGATACTCTTTCAGTTTTAGTTTGCAATATGACCACATTTACTAGAGGTTTCTGGAATGTTCGAAAACTCCTATTCGTCTGGTCATCTTTGAGGCCTCGAATCTCTATGAATCCATAAGCGTTTTTGCTAAGGCCTTCGTCGATTTTGGCCTTCATGTGGGAAAAGTCTATCCTGCCTTTTGTTTTTTATTGAATGGATTTGTGGTTTGACTTAAAACCTGTCTGAAAATGCAGAAAGAAACCCGACTTATGTTTGTCTGTCTAGACTCCCATTTCGCCTTTCCCTTGAACTTTTTTTGACGACTTATTTTTGTAAATGTCTTCTTTGTTTGCTAAAGTTTATTTCAGTTTTTACGGTACATAAAAGGGAGTTACGGTTTGTCCGAAAATTAGATTTGAGCAGGACCACTCAGCCAAGAAATTCTGGATTTCTAAAGCTTTTGTTCTTTGCTGCTGTTTTACAATATCTTTTTCTCCTATCTCTCGAAATGATCCTTTAGGTGATTTCTCTTCATGAATATCTTTTACACTTGATGGAGTGTTTCTCAGTTTTTACGGATCATAAGACGAAGTTACCATTTATCCGAAATATGGATTTGAACATGACACCTGTCGGGAAATTCTGGATTTTCTTCTGAGGTGCTGTTTTGAAGATTTGCTTTCTCCTGATTTTTTAACTGTGGTTCTTGCTGTCTTTGGACTAAACGTCAGCATATTTAACCTAGATTATAATGGTTTTGATGTCCTGCAAATTAGATCCTTAGTTTGATCGATGAATTTCTTTGAATATGATCCCATTACATACTTTGCTGAATTTTCAGAACTTGAAACAAAGAGAAGCTGACCTTGACGTTTTGGTTTTCCTTGACCAAATACCCTTTCTTTTCCCTCTCATGAATTTCATTGCTTTGGTTCTTAGGTCATCCAAGTACACTGAATCTTTTGGATTGAACGACATCTCAATTCTTAGAAATTTGCAATTGGAACATAAGGATTGGAATATCCTG